AATTTATTACACTTGCGGTGCGTTAATTTGCATTGGATTTTATTAAATATTACAGGATAATTTATGGGATTGGTCATTATAGGAAGAAGGAATTGAATGGTATTCGAACTTGCTAAATGGTTCATAATTTATTTAATTATACCTTTTTTATAAAAAAATTGTCTTTAATGTCTTTAGTTTTTTATTTTGTGTTAAATTTTTTAAAAGGTATGACACTATATTGCTCATAAAACCACCTCTTAAAACTATCAATTTGTGTTAATATTATTTATAATTGAAAAAAATTATTTTAAATTATTGATTTGCTACTTTAATCAATGCCTGGCGGAGGTGGCGGAGGAGTGGAAGAAGGTGTCTCCAGGAAAAGGCCAAGTTGCAATGGTGAACGAGAAAGATTGAAGAGGTGGTTTTTACACCATTGTTGATGTCTTGTTTCATTAAATAGTTTATTTGGTTTATTTTATTTATGGAAATTCAGTTTTTTGCGTTAAAATTATATTGTACAAGAATTAAAATAATTCTTGGATCAGTTTGATCTTAATGGATTGTTTGCCTTCTTATAAATACTTCTTACTTTGTACTAAAATTCCCCAAAGAAAATGTGTTTAAATTTTAAAAATTGTTCGTGCTACAATAAACCAATTTCATTGATTTTTGTGTTTTTTCTTAATGTGAATTTTTTAACAACGCACAATTAACAATTATTTATGAGTTAAAAAATAAACTCTAGAAGCGAGCAGCAGTTTTATGATATTTAATCAGAGGTTGGCTTACGAATTCTTTGTGAAAATCAATTTAATTTCTCTCTGGAGAATTAGAAAAAAAAATATATAATCGGTTCCTGCAACAATTTTTAACTCATTCACTTATACAATTGTCGGGGTTAATGTGATCGATTGATAAAAAGCAATGTCTCACATATGTGTGCGTTTGATCGTTAATTGTGCGCACTAGCTCCATGTCTCTGTGCATTATATTTTATTATTACTCACTGGTTCGAGGCAAGAGATAATCCTGAAACCATATCTGTGCGTGAAATGTCACAAGTCGTAAACATAAAAGTGGCCGCGCGCCCCATCAACGAGTGCATTATTTTTCTTTTTACAACTCTCTGCGAACATTTATTTTCCTTGCTGCTTTACACGAATTGTTGTTCTAAACCTTTAAGTCTGCTTTTTTGCAAGGATTCCAGCGAGTATATTATAAAGTGTTTTTATATAACATATTTTTTTGTGCACTTTCCTCTCTCGGCTCAAAGAAATAAAACAAAAAGCGGTTCTCTCTCGCGCGCGCGATATCTATTATTGCTGGGGGAGAAAATAAATTTTTGCTGCGAGCAAAAATAAAACGTGACGGGAATGAACAGAAGCTCATCATGAAAGTGCTTGTTGTCACAATAAAATGGCAAAAATTCGTTCCAAATTCCCAAAATTCCAAAAGTGGATACATTTTTGTGCAGGGAAATTTCGCATATTTTGTTTGGAAGATGTTTTGTACACTGGTTATAATGGAGTTTTGCGTCCAATTGATAGCATTGATCAATTTTAAGGAAAAATTTGTAGATCTTTTTATATTACTCGTTCAATTTACGATACCAATTAAAATTTTCACTTCTTTGAGATAAACGTGCATACAAAGGAGCTTGAAAAATTATTTTTTAGATAGGGAGAAAAAGAGTGGCTAGACTTTCTGCCGAATATAAACCATTTTTTAATTTCCAAAATTCAAAATAAAAAAATTCAGCAAGTCCTAAATTTATAAAATTAATATGAAATAAATTAAATATTAATTGAAATAATTATTTTCATTTAAAATTTGTATTGAGCACATTAAATTTTGGAAAGTGGCACGTCAAGAATTATTTTTCTGACGTTGCTATGAAATGATAATTATTGCTTCGATGGCCATAGCTATAATTTTAAGCCCAGGGAATAGAACCAGGCAATGCGGTTGCATTATTCATGAAGGCGCATGGCATGCAGGGAAATAAAAAGCTCCGGTCAGTCTTTCGGTGCACTGAGGCCACCGAGGTAAGAGATTGCGTGATATAGGGCTATTTTGTGCCCTCTATTTTATCTAGGAGGGTCCATTTAAGGATTTCCACTTTTGAAAATGCCCACCTAAAATACGGTTATTACGCCAGCAATTAGTTCGCTGAAATTCATACAATCTCCTGTCAAAACCTTTTTTATTTCTATAAATTTTAAAAATCTCTCTTAAGTTTTGCACGGCTTTACACAAGTTTGGACCCTTTACTGGCCATTTCAAAGCCATAAAGCATACCTTGACAGCCAGACCAACCACCCTCTGCATTGCGCGAAACATTCTCTGTTTTGTCCTGGATCTCTCCCCTGCGCACATGTTGTGTCTAAAAGTTTCGTTTCGCCGCCGAACAAAATTATCAAATCCTACGTAATCCTTGAGAAAAGATAAACGCACAAAGTTTCTGCGTCTCTGCAGGGCTGCACCACGCGAAACGACTCGTGGCGAAACTTTGTTTGCGGAGAGAGAGGATTTCTGCACATGGAAAAGCCGACAGACTTTACCGACTAGTGAAAGCAGCTGCCGTGCATTAGCTTAGTTTTTAAGAAGTGTGAATGCAAAGTACGCTATAGTTTTGAGCGTATTTTGAATGTCAAATCGGATTAAAAATAATGCAAATAAGAACTTTTCCCTTTTTTGTAGGTCATTGAGTACTAAATCCTTTCTCATATAATTAATAACAAATACATTTATTAAATCGAAAAACTTTTAAAACTGCACTGAAAATACATCTTAAATATTATTATATTGTAATAAAAAAGAATCAGGAATAAAAAGTTTAATTTTCTTTACATACTTTAAAATTTAGTTTCAATGGCATTTTAACGGGCTAAATAAATTACTTAAATATCAAACAATTAATGATAATATTTTTGTAAAATGTTGAAAAAATTGGAATAAGTTTTTACACGAGAATAAGTTTGCTTTGAACAATTTTAATTCTCTCCAAATATTTAAGCAAGTTCAACATTTTTTTATAAATTAAAATTAAGACAAATCATTAATCTTGATACATCGATTTTGAATTTCAGTTAGTTCGCAAAGTTGATTGACCGGAGAGTCAAGATTTAGCAACTGCAGTGTGCGCAAAGCCCCAACACTCGCATGGTACCTGCTGCTCTTGCTCTCTGCCGTATGACATTAGATGAAGAGATCGCGTCCTAGTTTCTTATTTCTTTTTTTCCAGGAAGCCCGGCCATCCATCAGAGAGCGTTGCTTTTGCATACAACGAGCGACGTAATGCGCGCCGGCATGCATAAGCAGCCTAGCATCGCCCCGAGAGCAACTACTTTTTCTCCTTATTTTTTCCGCGTTATTCCCACCGAGTGTTGCATGAATGCAAGTTGGAATTTTCTCGACTTTATATCTATTTATATCTTGCGACGAGGGTCTTTTAAGGGCGCATTACCACATCATTATTAACCGCCGGCCTCGGACTTAAATTTTTCAATTTATTCACTGTCGAGAGACGAGTGCAGGCCATTGTGCTCCGGTTTTATTAGTATATTTCCTCCTCCGTCTGCCAACTGGAAATTATTTTTGCCTCCATTTGTCACCGGCAAACAGACATAATATAAAAAACGGATTAATTAAAAAATAGTCTGGCGCTAACGAGTCGGAGGAGAGCTCGAAATAATTAACTCAAACTGCTAATGAGCTGGATTTTGTGATTTAGGCCAATTCTTTTGTCTGCACCAGAGAGGATGTGGAGGAAAAGTTGGCACGATCTCGATGCATTTTTTTTTTCAACTATTGTTTCGCGATTTCTGCGCCTGGTAACGAAATCAATTAATGCAGCGATAACACTTTTTATGACTTATCGATTCATTGTCAATACACTCGTTTAATAAACCACCCGCGCGACGAGTGCGTTTTAATTGCTAGTGGCGATGAATGAACGCCACTGCAGGAACAAAAAATTAATGATGGCGCGCACGCGATTTGCATTTTGCAGATTAAAGATAGTGGAACAACTTCACTCTGCTTTTATGGCCCATAAAGTCGCATGCGTTTTAAATTTTCAGAAATTGCCCGAAAAAGGCTGCGTTTTATGCGTAAGGATAAATTACCTTAAACTCTGCTGCGGGCAAATTTTAACTTTCTGCGCACACATTTGAAAATAAATTAGCATAAAATGTGAGGTTTTCATGACTTACGTCGAATTCGTTTTAAATTACTAAGAATTTTTGTTAGTGAACTTTTGTTACTCTCGTTTGAGAGGCCATGGGAACTTTTTATTTCTTTTAAAGTACACGTGTTTCATTTTATTTTCTAAGCTTTTAACTTTTTAAACATACATCTCTGTTGAAACGTTTGTTGTAAAGTGGAAAAAATGGTTCAACTGAAACGAACTAATTTTACGAAATGTAATTCGTGGCTCAAATACATATTTTTTATTTTAAACCATCCGTTTACTCTGCAATCGTTTGCATCTGCAGAAATTAACATAGCTGAAGCAGAAAACCTCAAGCTCGGCACAAAATGAAATATCCCCCATATTTTTATCTGGAATCATAAAAACCTACTCGCTGATTAAACCTTAAAATTCAACCGAACTAATTTCAATAGATGAAAGTATATTCTATGAAAATATAATATGATTTCTACGAAATTCCTGTTTGAATAAGGTTTTTTGCTGGCAACATTGAACATGTCACTTCACTTTTCGCGGTCCTGCGTTACTCATCAATTTCAGGGTATGAAAAACTAGGGAGGTGTTAATAGCTTCTGGGGGAGGGATTGAAAGGGGATAATTCCGCATAACAAGGTCAACTTCTAACCTCTATTATGCATAAAAATCAATTTTCGTGCGATTTGGCATGCTCGGATCAAAAAATCTCATCCTATGTAAAAGTTGTTGGTTTCGTTCACCAATCAATCTTGTATGTATATAATAATTAAAAGAAAGGAAAATATCTTAATTGAGTGAGAAAGATTTTCAGAGAAATTGTACTCACCGAAGGCATCAACTGGTCGGTGCTGCGGACGCGCGTGACCTTGTTCTTGTTGAGTTGGCGCTTGACGAACTTCTCGACCTGCTGGTTCCACTTCATGAAGGAGACGTAGGCGAGGTAGATGATGAAGAGGGTGAGCGCCTCGTACCAGTAGATGTTGTTGTCGCGGAAGAAGACGATGAGCGTGATGAGACTGACCGAGTAGAAGGTGCAGTCGCGGAACAGCGGCCACCACGTCAGGGTGAGCACCGTCCGGCTGAAGATGGCGCACATGCCAATCACAAAGAGGATGTTGAACACGGCCGAGCCGACGATGGTGCCGATGCCGACGTCGTCGAACGACACGAACACGCCGATCACACTGGTGAAGAGTTCGGGCGCCGAGCCGCCGGCGGCCATGAACGTGGCGCCGGCCACGTCGTCCGCAATGTCCAGTTTCTCGATAATCACGTCGAGGGACGGCACGAAGAACTCGTCGCACACGATGGCCAGCGCGACGAACATGTAGATGACGCCGAGGATGTGCAGCGCCACGGCGCCCTGGCGCCGCTGCTCCAGGGTGAACAGGTCCTCCGGGAACAGCGGGTCCTTCACCACCACCGCCGAATCGTTCAGCGACGCACTCGAGTTCTCCAGCAACACATGGTGGTGGTGGTGCAGCTTGCCTCCGCCGCCCCCGCTCAGCAGGTGCCGCGACGACGACCACTCCTCGTCCCCGTCTCCGTGGGTCTCCCGGTGCTGCGTCGCCCACGGCTTCACCAGCAGCACGATGCCGCTCACCACCACCGTGCTTATCAGCCGTAGTTTCCTCATCGCCAACTGAAACCAAGCAAAATTTCCACACACCACTTCAGTTATTACGAAATTACAAACTTTCATATAAATCTCAAAGCCTGATAAAACTTTATTTAAAAAAATATAAATTCAATTTTCTCTTTTGATGTCAATATAAGTTGAAAATTTAAATATGTATATTTAACAGTATTTATTTAATTTATTTATTAATATTTTATTTTATATTTTATTATTATTGCAAATTAATTATTTTTGTTTATTTACATAAAACATATAAAAAGCAAAAAAAAATTTCTTGTTAAGAAAAGTTAAGAATTAGTCGTTTTAATACCTTATATGATTTTGTATCTTTAAAAGACGATTATGCAGAGTTATGTCATTTAGTTACACTGAAAAAATGAAAAATGAATATGAAGCGTTTCCTTGTTGCTCTTCAATTATAAATTTTATAGATTGAACAAAATTAATCTTTAATTGTAAAAATATTTAACTTGAATCATGAATACTTAATATTAATGCAATAATTAAATGATTACCCTTTGTTGTAAGAAATTCACTTATTTAATTAGACTTTTGCTTGTAAATTTATATTATTTCATGATCATGATTCATGAAATAAAGGCAGAGACTTCGACCAAAACGTAGAAATTTTTTTTAATAATGTTTGAGCGTAACTTATCACTCCTTATAATTTAAATTATTTTGCATAATTTAAAATTTCTTTGGAATTTATACAGACAATTTAAAAATGTTGGAACATATTACGAAGAAAAAAATGTGATTTTTATTATTTCTTAAATGGAACAAAGAACAAGAACATTTTTTTTGCAGACAAAATTAAGCTGGTCAAATTTTTCCAAATCACATGTTATTTTACATGTCCGCTGATATCGTGGCAGAAAATTGATAGTAGTTGAAATAAAGTTAAACAGTTTTGTCAGACTTGCACAAAATTTTCCGTTCAGCTAAAAAAAGAAAAGGAAAAATAGAAAGAGGAATTAAAATTGTTGGAAGTGTTACTTGATTGACATTGACACATTAATTTCCCAACAGTTGAAAGAGCCGTGCATTGAAAAAGAACTTGAATGCACGAATAAATTTACTAGAGAATTCTTACGTAAGCGATTGAAAAGAACAATTTACGCTTTACAACCAAGAACAATAAATTGAGTAGATTTTTTTTACAGCACTTCGAAAACTTAAACGGTTTAATTAAATTGCTATTTCCAGCTATTTCAAATTTTTAGCATCTCTGTGTATAAGAAGAAATTTAATTTTTAATGTACTCATTTTATTTATAAAGTAGGAACAATAATGTCTGATGTGGTTAGAATTTTATCCAGTTATCATCTTGTAACGTTCATGTTTTTAGTTTTGTAAATGAAATATTTATTATATTATGTAAAAATAAAAATATTAAAATTGATATTACTATTCTTGTTTATCTCAATAAATTCACGATAAAAAATAAAAATTAGAAACAAATGAGCATAAATAAGTATTTGAAACTAATTTACATTTTGCAGTTTTACAGAAACTGATAATTTATTTATTGCTTTATGTAATTTTAAAAAAATTCATCAAAAACTGCACATTGGTTTCAATAAAAGAGAATTGATGTGGTTGTGGCAGAATTTTTAGCGCCTGAAGTGTGGAATTCGAGGCCGAAACGTGGGCAGCCAGCTGAAGGCTGAAGGAATTTTTCACCTCGGGAAGAATTTGGTCTATGCGGAGAGCAAAAGTAGAGATAATAAAATGTTCACTTGCGACGAGTTTGGGCAAACCGGCGAGCCCACGCGCGAACATGGCAGGGGATGCGGGGGTTGTGACAGGGGTGGATGTTACCTGTGGGAAGGTGGAGCTGATTCGGCTGAAAAGAAGAGGTCGGGCGGCGCCGATCAGGTCATGGTGCACGGCAGAGTGTCACTGGGCAAGAATCCATATTGCACTAAGGGGGTGCCTGCCTGACACACAACCAGAAGGGTCGATGTCGGCCGCTCGCTCGCTCGCTGCTCTGCTGCTCGTTCTCTCTCTCGGCCAAAGTTGAGCAGGCGGCCTACCCCTCCATCCACTATGGCCAGCCCCGACTGGTACACCTTCCCCTTCTCCGCTCCCTGTCGTCCTACTATGCATGCGATGCGCGCCACGAATAGAGGCCAGCAGCGCACCAGCCCTGCCGTCGCCGCCGGTCGATAATGGTTGGTTTGCGTCGGCCCCCGTTCGCTCGCTGCCGCCTCCACCTCGCACTTACACACAATCCCAGTGCGCACCAGCACTAGCGCAATTCCCGTTCGCCACCTGACTATGCAATACACTTCAACCCAGAACTGCATGCCATCTCTTGTGCCTCGCCAATCCTCCTCACAATTCGCACATTTTTACAGTCACCATTGATCTTTGTCCAATCTTTTTTCTAATTCAAAACAATTAATTGAAATATTATTTTAGAAATTTTATTCGTGTAAAAAAACCTTCTTTATCTGGTGTTATTTATTTTTCATCTTCCAGCAAAATTAATAAATAAAAAATTAGGAACATTGGAGAAATTAGAAAAACAATGTACAAAATAATTTATGTAATAGAATTCAATTCAATTCGTTTATTCTCTCGCAGGTCAAGGAAGAATGGAGGAAGTAATAATAATAATAACAATTGGAATAATTGTTTATTAATTGCAAAATATTTAACAATGTTTCTTAAAAGTTCTAATTTGTTTTTCTCTGTTCTTGTTTTATATGTCTCAATGTTAACCTTTGCAAACTTTAAACAGCCCTCAATAGAAGTAATTCAACTGTAAATAGCATATCCATTTCCATGCAGCTTTTTGAGCTCACTGCACTCTTTAAATAAAAAAATTAAATTAAAAAAGTATTGACAATTAATTCTTAGGCTAGGATGATGTCCAGACCCCAGCGTTGAATATTTTGTACAGCAGGTTGCATAATCTGACTGACATAAGATCACCTTCTCAAAATAAAGCAATAAAATATTCATTTTCTTGTAATATTTTAACAGTGAAAGAATTTTTTGAAATCCACTTGAAAATAAACAAAAATCAATATAAATTAAAATTTATTTATGATATATTTTTCTAAAATTAGAAAAAATATTCCAAGATTTACGCAGTAAATTTTTTATTATATTACAAGCTTTTAATAGCCGCCGATTTAGGGGCGATTTGCGGCGCCGATATGCAGCGTTGATTTGCGGCATTGACTTTGAAATAAAATTTCTAATTAAGTGACCTTTGACCTACACAAAAATAATCAATAATAGATTTGCGGCCGAATTGCGGTGCCGATTTGCTACGGATTTTGTTAAAATAATTAAATAAATTCAAACAAAAATTTAATTTAAATTTCTATATTTTTTTAAAAGAAATGTGCTATTTAAAGGTGAGAAAATAAAATTAAAAATTTAATTATAATTAAATTAAAATTAGGCTTTTTTTACTCAGGTGACCCGATCATTTCAGAAATAAGTTTTTTAAATTTATGAAATAAAGTTTTTTTTTAAATATTATTTTTCCAAAAAAATTTTAAAAACTCTTTTAATAAAAGAAAAAAAAGCTCGCGCTTGTGTTGCACCGATGTGCGGCGCCGATTTGCGGCACCGATTTGCGGTGCCGATTTGCGGTGCCGATTTGCGGTGCCGATTTGCTACAGATTTTGTTAAAAGAATTTAATAAATTCAAACAACTTTTATTCAAATTTCATTATTTTTTATAAGAAATTTAATATTAAAATTAATAATAAGTTTTCTAAATTATGAATATAATTTTTTTTAAACTTATTGTACGAAAAAAATTTTAAATCTTTTTTTAAAAGCTCGCGCATTTGCGGCGCCGATTTGCTACAGATTTTGTTAAAAACATTAAATAAACTCAAACAATTTTTATTCAAATTTTTATATTTTTTTATAAGAAATTTAATATTAAAATTAATAATAAGTTTTCTAAATTTATGAATATATTCATTTTTTGTAAGAAATTTAATATTAAAATTAATAATAAGTTTTCTAAATTTATGAATATAATTTTTTTTAAACTTATTTTACGAACAAAAATTTTTTTTTATTAAGCTCGCGCTCGTGCTGCACCGATTAGCGGCGCCGATTTGCGGCATCAACTTTGAAATCAAATTTCAAATTTAGTGACCTTTTGACCTACACAAAAATAAAATAGAATATAAAGGCTATAAAGCTCATAGTTATGAATGAGGAATATGAGGATTAGGAAGTGACTGCGTATAAAGATGAGAGCATAAAATTTCTGAGGAAATCTCGGGGCTCAAAGGCCACGCCGCAGTGCAAACAACAATCTCCAGAATGTGTCAGAGGTTATCACAAACCGCAGCAACGCGGTCAGCCCGCGTGAATAGAATGATTGTCCCTCACTCAGCGAGTGACGCAGAAACGGCGTGATTTCGGTTCAGCAGTTTGTCAGCGGATATGCAGCTGAAAGGGGTGCTTCTTTTGGCCTTCTACGGGCTGCTTTGCCTTTCGCACCTGGCGCAAGCCAATAGGAAGGACAGGCATCACAAAAATTTTAGAGTAAGCCACAATTAATTTCTCTAATGCTGTTATTAAAATTCAGATTATTAACTAATTTATTAAATTAAAAAGTTATAAAATAAGAGGGAGGACAAGGAAGTTATTTTTTGATTTTTATTATATTATTTTCAAAGAACATGATTATTTGGATCTGCTGCATCAAATCCAAAATGTAAAAGAAGCGATATTTTTTTTTTAAAGTCAATTTTATTGCCTTGAATGGAGTTTGTTAGTCTTCTGAAAATGCACAATAAGAGGTCTGGTTAAAAGATTCAAGATTTTTGTTTATAATATATTATTAAATAATGAAATGTATTCTGTTTCTCTTTATCGATTTTCTTTATTTTAATCTGTTGTTTTTATAAATTTTAAATATTGACATTATGTATCAGCATAAAAATTATATTTAAAAAATTTACTTATAAAATATTTTCAAAAGGATGAGGACGTTGAGAACGTGGAACTAGAACCCGAGATCAAAACGGCGGCATCTCTAAGCCACGCAATGTTGCAACAACTTACTGTGAGTGATATTTTTCTAGAAAAAATTGATATGAATAAACAAATCAATTTAGGATGCTGTTAGGTCGCTTTTACCCGTCAAAGACCAAATTTCAAGTCAGGTATGAGATTGCCAGTAAGATTTTTCTTCGTAGTAGTAATAATTACTTGTAAATATTTAGCAAGCAAAAATTGACCAAATTTATGACGTATCACTAGAGGCAAAGAAATATTTGGAGAGGTAAAAATTGTATTTAAAAAAATGGCAGCAGAATTAAATATTAATATAATTATTTAATTTCGCTTATTTAGTTCTAAGAAAAACGAAAGTGAAATCGAACAGATGCGATCGGAAATTTCTCGAATGGCGAGGAAAGTGTCAACCACCGACACTGAATGCTCAGAATCGCTTGAGTACTGCAGGCTGAACATGAAAAACGCTCTGGCTGAACTCAGACAAAGGTCAGTTAATGAACCCTCTGCCAAAATATGCTGATGTCAAAGCTCGCCTTTGTTCATTCTAATGAACTCGTTTCCAATTATGTTTTTTATATATTTTGATTGTTTATTGTTTCCCAATTTTATATTTCCTCTGCGCTAAAAATTGGGTCAAAGCGATCTTTTTGCTGAATTTATTTAATTCTTCAGATGCGACTCTGACGTAGAAGCGGTCGAGCGCAAGTGGCAGGACAAAATGCAGCAACTGAGTTTCCAGCAGGGTGGCCAGATCAGCGAGTTTCAACAGGGGTGCGAGGCCCAAACGATCAGTCTCCAGACGCAGTGCTTCACCAAGATGATGGACCTGAGCACCGAGGCGGACAAAACGATCGCCGTGTTGAAAGCCGAGAATGAAAAGCTGCAGGCGCAAATTGCCGAGTTGAATGAAAAACTGGGCAAGTGCGTTCCGGAAAAGAGCGACTTTGATTACAAGGGCAACGTGGCCAAGTCGGCTAAGGGTTTGGAATTTGAAAAAGTGCCCAAACCTACAAGTTCGCCCGAAAAGGCTGACTGTGAGGTGCGTGAAATTTCAAACTTAACTTTTTATAAATAATTAAAAATAAAATCGCAGGGCTTCTCTGAACCATCAGCACCAGTTTGTAAGTAAACCAAATACGTTTAATATAAAAATATTAATTTCTACTCCATACTCAGCTCCTACCCTAACTGAAAGTGGAATGAATGTTGGAAACAATAAGCAATACATAATTGGTGAAAGAAAGGTGATTACATTAATAATAATTTGAAAATTGATTGATTGATATTATCTATAAAATTATTTGCGACTCCCTTTTACTGAAGTTATGCAACTGGCTTGGCATGACATCATGACTGAGTGCCTATATCAATAATTTCAGGCGCTTTAGATAATAAATAATTTATGCATTGAGTTATTTATTGCCAAAAGGTAACTTGGGAAGAAGCAAACGAACTTTGTCGCGCAAAGGGCATGTGGCTGCTGACCCAGGAGACGGAGAAGGACAAGCACCTGCTCAACATTCACATCCAGAGTATTTAAAAAAGATACTTCTATTGAATTTAATTTGTAAATTGAACATATTTTCAAAGAAATCATTGGCACCCAGCCAGCCACTTTCTGGATGTCTGCCCGCAAGGAGGAGGGCGAGACATGGTTCATGTGGCAATGTTTCACCACCAGCCAGAGGCCCTGGCGTCACACCCAGGTTCCGAAGACGGACCAGAGGTGCGCCTACGTCACCTACCAGAAGGGAGGCAAGGGTGTCTGGGCTGACGACCCCTGCGAAGACACCCACAGGTATATCTGCCAAAAGATGGTGCACTGAAGAACAAGTTTGATTCAGCTCAAATAATTTTGATCCACAAATTATTGGATGTATTCTTAAGGTTGCAGTTTAAATAAAAACCACAACGATTTTTGTGAATATCAGAAATAAAATTTTATTAATTGAATACTGCTCAGCTCTCGGCTCGCATTCAAATTTGTAAAGCAAATAAAATTATTAAGCCACCAATACATAATATAAATCTTAGCCAATTAAATACTCAAATGTGGTTATAGAATTTGAAAACATTTCAAATAAGTATATAGAGGCGCAATATGACCATCTTCTCAATTTCATTGCCAGCATAATTATCAAAATCATCTCAAACAACTTTTCTTAGCATCATATTAAGGTCTTATTCTTTACTTTTTATTTATGATAGCGCTGTCGAAAGGAAATTTCACGCTTTTTAATTTTGTTATTTTTAACCCGCGAGCGCCTATCAATGTTAGCTCGATCGTTATGGACTGGAATTTGATCATCCTTCTGTCTTCAGGCCACAATCACAATCCACTTGTTAGATGAGTATTGATCATCATTACATAATTTAATAATACAATTATATCATATATGTGCGAGTGCTAGAAATAAACTCGAAAACTCTCTCCGCTGGTATTTCATATCATAGGAAGCTTAAAAAATTATATATTTTATCGACTTGTTAGATTAAAAAAGGCCTTCAAACTGTCCAATCAATCGCAGTTGCTCCACAATTATAATAAGATACACTCATCTCAGCAAAAATTTCCATTCTCCTTTTTTAACATCTACAGGTATAGCGTTTCTTAATCATTACACGAAAGATGACTTAAGCATTATTTTGCAGTTCAGACGTCGCTTCCGTAAGGAAGAGGCGTCATCACTTTTTAACCTCCCACTTTGCTAAGTATTGATGAAGCCACGCATGAATCTCCTAGTTTCTAGCTTTGAAAAGTTTTGAACAGCTTAGCAATTTTAAAAATTGCAAAATTTTTGTTACAAAACACTTTTTTATATAACCAAAGCCAAGACATTTTGTTTCTTCAAACAAGGGAGAGTGAAGAGAGATGCGGCAGCGAAGAATCCTGGTGCGTCTGTTTTGTAGCATGGTTAGTTGTGAGGGGTGAGAGGCGCGGTGAGTGTTAGTAGATTTAGTTTAGCTTAGGGATGGTCTTCTCCGTTGGTTAGTAGCCGGCAATGTCTGTGAACGTTTTGTCCATTTCGTCGGCGATTGCCTTGTATTTCTCCCTCTCGCTAACCAAGTCATCTGCAAGGGCGGCGCGGATTAGTAAAGGGGTTAATGAAGCAAAAATTTCACATGCAACAAAAATGGTTATGGAACGATTCGGGAGATTAAAGTTTTAAGTCGGGAAGGAATTTGGCCAGAAAAAAATTCAAATTTTAGGTATGTAATTCTTTTGACATCACACAGCAGCAGGTTTTATTATAATATCTAGCAGATTAATTAAGTTTGTAGAAAGCGCACCACACAAGAAGCCGACGAAAAGTAACACTGTCGACGAGCATAGATAATTTTGTTTTGACTTACGGAGTGAATGAAAAACGGCAAAACTAGAGTGGTTTGTTTGGTGTTGTATTTTTGAGACGCATAAGTTGGAAGCCATCATGATTGAGTTACAGTCGTGAAATCATCGTAAATAATTAAAACATAATAAATATCTGTGAGAATGAACAAAAACAATCTTGGCAAAATATCGTGACGCCGCTTTTTCCCATTTTGCCTTTAGTAGCCGGTGAGCTCGGAGAAAGTCTGATCGAGGTCGTCGCAAATGTACTTGTACTTCTCCTTCTCGTGAACCAACTCATCTGCAAGGAAGGGCAGAGAAAAGGAAGTTTAGAGACCAAGGGAGGGCAAGAATAGCGACCCACGCAGAGAGCAGAATGCATGTACCTTCCCCGTGTCCAGTATGATGTTACTCAAGCTCGAATGCAAATAATGTAGCAAAAAGCGTGTTGAGTTCGAAAATGGGAACTTTTTTAAACAGAGTGAAAAATCTGCAAAAGTAGTAAAAAATTATGAACCCAACGCTGAAGCATAGAAAGCAGCGGCGGATTTCCAAAGCGAAGAGGATTAAGCAGAAAAGTGAGAAAGGCAAACAATGGAAAGAAGAGAGAGTGGCAATTAATTATTTTAATATAATCTTGTATTGTGTACACAAGTTGATTGTTGGTTGATTATGTACATTTTGATTAGAGACACCAAAATAAACATAAAAAATTTGATTTGCTCCGTTTTTTCCGACTCGATTTAATTATATTTTATCAAGAGAAATAATTTGCAGGCGATATTTATATTAAAATTGGTGGATGAAGGCGCTGGAAAAGCAGGCAGGGCGCCCAGCAGATTACCAGCCGTACAGCTCTTGGAAGGCGGAATCCAAGTCGTCTCCAATGCCGTGGTACTTTTCCTTTTCAATGACAAGTTCATCTGCAAGTTTCAAGCCAAGTTAGCGACAAAAGCCTCGCAAGCCGAAAAAACGCTAGCCGACTGTCGTCTGTCTCTTTTTGAATTCTCCATTAATTGACCCAACTTCCTTTTTTTATCGACTAAATTACTGGGTGGTTGGGGAGCAGTCTGAGGGTGCATGGCACGCAGGGTGTGCTACACAGTGAAGGGGATGTACTAGATTACTACTCAGGATGATGCCCAGACAAATTTCGCCGTTTCGAAGGCAAAATTCGCTGCCCGGGAGAACCAAAAACAAATCCATGCTCACAAAACGCAGGCAGGCAAAATAAAAACATGCCGCAAAACCAACATAAATGAACGTAATAAAATAAAAAAGTTGATGTGTTAGAGTGTGAAAATATTTTATTGGAAAATCATCTTGAACTACAATTTATTTAGTTAAATAATATTCATTTCGTTATAATTATAATGGTGTAAAAACTGAACTTATGCGGAATTTGCTGGAAAGCATAATAGTTACAAGACAAAACTTGATTGATCCTTAGTCGTTTTCTTGCAAAAGAAGAAAACCAAACTGGGTAGAAAATTGGAATTACACCCTTCTTGAAAAATGCACATATAATACAGGATATTGTTACGTAAACTACAAGTAGTACATAGATTTTAGTGTGCCGATTCAAAAGATTAATAATTATTTATACGTAACGGAAACTCAAAAATCAACTATTAACAGCTAAAGCATCTTAAAAATAAATAATTTTTGAAAAATTTACGCATCGCAATTCCAAAAAATACACCATGCTTTTCAATTAAAATATCACATTGATCATGCTAGAACAAAAAACTGATACTTTTTTCTTGATTTAATTTTCCAACGCAGGAGGGCGAATTTAGTACTAGTACTAACAACTCGAATACAAAAATACTTTTTATCATTTCAACTGCATAAGCGCACCACAGTTCCGAGCGGAATAAATTAAGAGCTATCAACAAAACTCCTCTGATTGGCACTATAGAGAAATCAAGAAATGGGAATGTGGACGTCATTTTTGGTCCCGAATGTGTGCAAGTTTAGAGAAAATAAACATTTAAAAAGGTAAGTTTCCAGTGCGACCAAAATGTAAGGAACTCTGGCTTGCTTATGGAATGATGGAATTTCATTAAGAAACTCGAGAAATTTCTGTCGGTGATGGTTGAGGGGAGGTCGGGGGCACACAGCGAACACCAGAGCATTTGTTGGCAGATAGATTGATTTTGTGTATGTGTGTGAGAAAGGGGATGGATGATAGGGTTGTCTACATGTTCTGAATGTCATGCAAAGTCGCCTCCATCTCCTCCGCCAGAAGCTTGTTGCGCTCTTTCTCGCTAAGTAGATCATCTGCAAAGAGACCACACTCTAAAGGACTGACCAATTTTGATGTATTTCAGGGCCAATGAGTACAATTTCTAAGGGAGTTTATATGATGGGGTTGATCAGGATGATATATTGTGAGCAGTGGCATTCATATTCCTGTGTGATGATTGACGATGAAGAGCAAAAGGAATTAGAGAGAAAAAGAGAGGAGACCGATTTGGCGAAACGGACTGCAAATCATTTCTGATTACTCATGAGTAAACACAACACCAAACGTAGTTAGGAAAATCAATCGACACGTGTTAGACTGGACGGAAATGTTAATACATTGGAAGTTCAAATGAAAATTTGAAAGTCCTTTAAAGAGTATTAAATTTAAAGATTCATAAGTGAACTTGAACGCTGATTATTTATGAAAGTAAACGAAAATGAGACGACACCAAAGAAAATAATAATAATGCCTCCTACAGTTAAGGCCATTCTGTTACGGCAGCGCTTTCAAGTGTTTGTTTTGCAATGACTCTGCTTCAATGATAATATACCCAAAACCTCGTGAGATTCCTTAGAAAGTTGATGGAAAAGATAATGACGCAATTTTCAGACACAAAATCTACGTTTTGCACTAGAAAATTGCCCATGGAATTTGAATGGTGAATGAGGACGTTGAGTGAAATTTAAAGTACGAACCTTCAAGCCTGTCAACCTCCTTCTGCAGTTTCTGGACAGAACGCTCAGCGAACTCAGCACGGGCCTCAGCCTGTCAAGGGAATGGGTTATTAGTAAATAGTCCTGGTGTGCAAGTTGAAATTCTCTGCAGGTTTAATTTTGCAATATTGTTTTCAAATATAGAGCCCTGCAAAGAATTTCCGGAATCGTAACATAAAGTGTTAATAGAGTAAAAAAAGACACACAAAAACTCAAAAGAGTTAAACTTGTAAGGTACTGGGGTAGTGTAGGCATCTAGTGGAGAACATCACGATTTGGTGTTTTGTTACAATAGCTCCGAATGGTTTTGTTATTAACACTAATTAATTTGTGGTAATTAGTACTTTTAACACTTGAGATAAAACAACATTTGGGTTTCAATACTTGCACTTGATCTGCACCAACGTGGGACTAAAGATTGCGAGTGAAAATAATACCGGTGGCTTTTACAATAGGGTGCTTCGTAAATAATTGAATAAAAACTGAGCTGCTAAACACGCAAAGCGCCTTAATTTTAAACGGAAATGGATTCGCCGCCATTACTTACATCCCTCAAACTAACTGTGATTGCGGCAATTCGCTCTTCGCACACTACTTTAGTTGCCGAAGCCTAAATATGCAACAGTTTTGAAAAATTGGCATGCATTAGAGTGATTTGAGACTTTTGACATGCATTAATTATTAAAAATCTAGACAAAATTTTGAATCGTCTGCGTCCGCCACCCTGTCACTATAAAGGGAAATTGCTCGAAAGAAAAGAAGCTCGATGCCATGTACACCCAAGTTGTCTTTTTGTACTCCATGTGTGCGCCTCGGCTAGCAGAAAAATTACCTCTTTGAGAGAAGCTGCCAGTGACTTGATGGACTCCTCAAAGTTTTCCTCTCTCTGTGTGGCCTAAAACATGGTTTTTTGTGCAAAATATCACACACACAAACAACAAGCAGTGTTATTCCTATGGTACAGCTCTCAGCCGCAGTGAGTTGTTGGCTAATTATGGTACACTTGATTAGATCTCTCTCTGTTAATGGTCAGGGGGCGTAGGAGGGCAAATGAGCGCGTTTAAAACTCAAAAAGGCAAAATAAAACAAAAAAACGAGAAGGAGAACGCTCATGCCACGTCGAGGCAATTACGCTACCTCCTTTAGTCTGGTGTTCAAGAGCTTGATTTGCTGTTTGTATTCTTCCTCGCGTTGGTTGGCCTATTTCATTTAGAATGAAGATATAAATCATCTTGTTCGAAAAGGGTGTGTGGGGGCTTAAAATTCAAGTCTAGCAACTACTGACACTCAAATAAATTTATAAAAAAATATCGTAAAAAGTGAGAGAAGCAACTTGTTAAAATAACCTGTTCAGTCTTGGAATTTTTAAAATTTTAAATGTCTTCAAATAAAATCTATCAAAATCAACAAAATAGAAACTGGAATGAACAGGTAATTGAATTGATATTTTTCAGTGTAATTTGTCAAAAGACTTGTGATTGGGAATTTTCAATCCACTGGGCTCTTGAGATGTTCTGAAGGACCAGATGCATACCTTCTCTTCAGAAACCTCTAGGGACTTCAGGTTGTTGCCGACGACGCGCAGCTCCTCCTCAAGCTCCACAATCTTGCTGCAAGTTGAAAGTTTTTTATTAGAAATACGGCGTTGAATCATTAAATATAATTAACATGGAAACATAAAAGTTACTCATGCTGAGGGAAGTTAGAAAAGTTAGGAACTTACACCTCGCCGTGCTCGGCCTTTTCCTCTGCTCTCTCCAAGTCCTGCTCCATCATGACAAGTTTGCGAGCCACCTGTCATGCAACATGAGGTTTGGGATTAGTTAGTACACTCAAAAACAGAAACACGGTTATAAAGAATAGGGTCTGCTCTCGCCGCCTCCGCTGGATTAATCACAAAAATACAGAAAACTAGCCAGTCTAGGTGGCTTTAAATTCACACGAAAAAACGCAAGGAAGCCTTTTGAGTTTTCAGAATATTACTCTAAAAGCGAGGAATATTTTATATAATTTGTACAAAAGTTTGATTTTAAGCAATTCCAAATCGGAAAAGAAGCCGACAGACTTCCTTGCATAAAACTAAAAAACGCACAACAAACATGTACATTCCAAAAATAAAAAACCTGAAAATGTATTAGCTCAACGGGGTTGGTATTAAACTGTACAGAGGAAACATTTCATGCGTCTGGGGACTGAGGCTTACTTCTCCCCGGTGTCGGCGCGCTCCTCTGCTCTCTCCAGATCAGCCTCAACCATGGCCAACTTACGAGCGACCTGCAATCGAGCCCTAAATTAGCTCCAATTATTGTGGCTTTGATTAGTCGAGAAAACAAACAGCGTTGTTATTGCAGAAACCAGGCACGCATTCAATTCTGTGCAGTTTTAAATATCTTTTTAATTCATTTATATTTTAAGTTAACTTTTTGTCTTTTTTTTCTTGGAAATTTTTTCTTATTTTTTTATAAGATTGATTAGTAAAAGAAAATATTGCAAAATAGTATAAAATAAAATTTTTATTTCAAAACAGTTGTTATGGGTATCGCACAAATACATTCTACATCACAAACTAGTAAGGATTAATTATATTCCTATCTCATAAAAACAAGGAACAGGAAATCAAAAGAATTAATAATAAATTCGAAAGTGGTTAGATTTACGATAACATCCCACTTCAGAGAAAACTACTCTTCATTCATTTCAAAGTCCAAGATCAAGCACCAAAAATGAAAAGCCGCGATCGAGGAAGCTCCAAGCTTTTTTCCAGCTGGTTACTCGGGCCAAGCAGATGCACACCAACGAGCAGAAGAGAAATCTCATTTCGCGTTTCGGATTAGTCGGCGGAACACACACGCAAGGGTCAGTCAGGGCGCGAAGCCGCCATCACCTCATCGTATTTCTTGTCGGCCTCCTCAGCAAGGAAGCGGGCCTCCTTCAGCTGGTTCTCCAGGGCGTCCATGCGCTCTTCATCTGCCAAGCTCCTGTTCTCAAGGACCTTGCGCATACTGTGGACACAGTCAATCAGGTCACCACCTCCGCCAAAACAAATTTGCCGCGACACCAAACGAAATCAAATGATAAATAAAATAATGCATTCGTTAGTTTCTCTGCTCTCGGACGACACTCGGCATCTAGAGGGCCCGAAGTTTTGTCCCAATCGGGGAGAAAACTTTGGGCTGCGGGGAAAAGGGAGAAAAGCGTCAGTAAGTCGCGCGCCTCTTGCTTACCTCTTCGTATTTCTTATCGGCTTCCTCGGCAATTAATTTCGCCTGAGCTAATTGACTTTCAAGGATCGCCACCCTGTCGTCTTCCATATTTGATCTATTTTCGAGAGCCTTGCGTATCCTAAAAACATTTGACACCAGATTTGTTCAGTCTTTTCCTAACCAGGGGTGGGGCGAAATTCGTCTTCAGGCCTCTCGGCTCCAAATTTGAGCATTTTATTATTATTATTTTTTTTAATTTTTAAATCGGCCTGAAGAATGATATAACTTTCAATTGAAATGGGGACCGAGTTAATTTTCTAATTTAACTCTAGGTTAGTGTAAAATTCAAATCAGCTTCTGGTGATGACGTTCGAGTTAATGGTTAGACTCGCTCAAACGTTGAAACCAAAATTGGCAGAAAAAATTATTCGTCGAGTGGAAATAACCGAACGCAGAATTCGCGTTTGCTCGAGTGTGAAAAGAGTTACGAATCGCGCGCGCCACGTCGAGCATAATAATGAGCATTCGATTCGTGGCTCCCGTCCAATGCATTTCTCGGAAGAGTTTGAAATGTGCCAAGTTTCGGGTCAAAGTTTGAGCCAGGGCGCAGTAATTACCGCTCAGACTCGTCGGCGTTCTGAGAAGCCTCGGCGAGCTTCTGAGTGGCGGTGGACAGACGCTCCTCAGAGCGCTCCAAGTCCTCTTCAAGCAGCTGGATGCGACGGTTGAGAGCAGCAACCTCACCCTCAGCCTGAAAATTGATCAAACCATCTCTCAGCATTCCGCGGCACAACCTTTAAAAAAATCTAAAAGGGCACCACCACCACCTAAATTCGCTGGCTGAAGCTTTGAAAAATGAAACATGCGTCAAGAAGGAATTTTTATTTGTAATTTTAGAGAAAAAAAAGTTCCAAATTTGTTATTGGACAAAGGCGACATTTTTGAGCGCGAGTGGGTTTACGACCTTCGCGGCCATCTCTTTCGCTCCCTCCTTCACCGATTTTGCCGTTATCGCCGCGGCTCTCTCGCAGCACCTTAATTGCGTCATCAATGCGTGGGCTTGTTCGTATTTGTCGAGATGAAAAAGCGAGAGAGAATATCCGCGCCGCTCAAAGCTGATCCTTGATGATTTAATTCGGATCTCGGACGCGCATGATGTCATGAGAATCCAATTGCTTTCGCGCTTATCGCACAGTGATGAGCCACTGAAAGAAAAAGGGAACGCGTTTTGCCAACGGGCCAGAGATTTGATTGACGTGAATATTATAAACTGCCAAAAATTCTTTTAATGGCTTCATGTGTAGGTGACTTAATATTTATTAAAATTAAAATCAAATAGTATCGCAAAATTAAAAATTCATTCTTTTGAAAGTTGAATTCCAGCTAACGGTAGCAACAAAGTAGTTGATATTTGATCAACGCAAATGTGGCAATCTCCGAGTGAGTGACACCAATGCCAACTTCTTTTTTATTATTATTTTTAAGTGGAATCATATTTACACAATCTGATGCGGAAAACAATCGATTTGTTCTCATGGGAAATTTTTGCATCACGAGCTTACGAACGGGCCATTCAATCCGACGTAAAGCTCAAGCGGTATAATAAAATAAATAAAGAGTCTAGTTACCCAACGTGCAACCCTACCGGTGCATTCCGTAACGAGCGGCTGCGGCAAAAAATTACGGAAGTTTTGCCGAGCTGGCCGATTTTCTTTTAACTATGCAAGAGTTTGTTTAATAACAAGAATCGCTTTAATTTTCATTCGGTTGGAATTTCATAACATGAGGGCAGAAATCAAGTTTATTATCTTTCTGGGGCGGAAGGAATTTGATAGCGGGCTCTGCACTATTATTTTTATGCGTCCTTGAGAAACCCGGCCAAAGTAGCGACGACCGATTAAAGAAAGGAAAGGTGCATGGGAATGGGAGCCGGCGGTAGCACAAGGGAAAGAGCCAGAAGAGCCCATGAATATCCAGTTGCAAGAGGTGTGGTCGCGTCGCCTAATCATACACACGCCAGATAAGAGGCCTCCCTCTTTTTATTATCTGCACTCGCTCGAGTGTAAAGGTTGCACCTCCTGCATTTTGACACCGGGCCAAATGAATGGAAACGTCAGAGACGGATGAAAAAACAACAAACTGGTTGACTTAACTGTACATCGCGACCGTGACAGAGTATAAAAAAAATCACGTATTGTGAAAGTATTTAAATTCAAATGAGGAAGAATCCACTTGCATTGCTAGAAAATTTTAGAATATTTAATGATTTTTTATTAAATGTTCTGATTCAGTTTTGAAAATTAATGATTTCATATACATTTTTGTACAACTTAGTGAGGGAATGAGGAAAGTCTCTAACTGCACACGGTGCCACCGTGTCCCGTCTGGCTGACCGCTGAAAAATTTGCCTGGACCGCAAGAGCGCGATTTGTTCACGCATTGGACGCTGGTTCGGAATCTGACCGACTTCCTTCCGGCCGAGCGGAAGGGCCGAGCCGCATTAAAAACTCACAAAAGCCGAATCCTCCCGTTTTCAAATTCGGTTCCCACGCACCGAGAAATTAATTCGCTCCGCCACGCCTCGCAGTTTCATCCCTGATGAATATTTTGACGGACGGAGCATCTTTTGGTGGGGAAAGCAAAGAAAAGGGCCGAGTCACGCCGGTGCCTCTTTTGAACAGACAAAAAGCCAGTTGTTGAATAACAAGAGACCATCCTTGAAAATAAAAATATTTTCTACAAGCATAATTGCCGGGACAAATAAATAAAAATTCTTCTCAGATTTTTCAGAGAGTGAGCGTTTTGTGTTATTCGTCTGTCGTTTCGTAAAATATTGCTCTCCCAGTGTAATTTGCCAGATGGTGTTGGAAATTATAGAGCAGCTCCCAACACGTGTGGAGATTTAATGATAATTTTACAGTTCTAACAAGCATCAAATCCGAGCTGGCCAATTTCCCAAAGAGATTTACTTTGAAAAAATGGTTGTTATATCAATAAAAAAATTTAAAGTCGATGATAAAAAAAAAGGTATTTTTCTGGTAGAAAAAGTCATCCTTGAGAAAAATGTGATTGATTTAAGTGATTAAAAAAACTGCTCTGCAATTTTGGCAGCATTGTTTTAAAAATTTACTCCACATACAGAAACTTTGTGTAAGAATTTCTAAAACATTTTGATCAAAAGTTCCAAGTTTCCTCCCTTTTTTGACATACAAATGTGGGACACTGTTTGGATTTGGCCGGTTGGTCGTCAACCGCTCTTACTTTTATAAATAGCCAGGGGTGCGGTTACAAAAGCGCTGGGCAATATTTACACGACCCGGTGTGTCACTTTAATGTGAAAACGCACCCTTCTGCGCGTCACATTTTACACGGAGGCGAGTCGCGATTGGCACAACAGCATCCGCCCTATATTTGCCATCCAAAATCACGGCGAAAACTCACACAAAGGATGAATGAAAATGAAAAACAAATAGTCCGCGACACAATTGAACAAAGCCGTAATTAAGTGAGGCGAGCGAGCAACCCACCTTGGCAAATTAATTTTGATTGTAATGGCTGGCGGCAGGCTAGACGCATAATTTCGGTCCCAGGTCAACGAACTAGTCTGGCTTGATCAGAATTTGATTTTGTTCTTAAAATAATAATTTGAAACTTGGATTTACATTAAAAAAAAAAATCATTCTAAAAAGTTAAAAATGTAATTTTAAAATCGTAAATATTTTTAACTTCTATTTCTCTTGTGAAAAAGAAATTTTCGTAAGTTGACGAAAGAGCGTTCAAGGGATCAAAAATGGAATTCATGATAAATATCAAAACAAGGATCAAAAAGTCTCTTGTCACGATTTTCGGTTCTTTGTTTTCCTCGGGAGAAATCAAAAAGCGTCCCATGAATGTGTCATCGGAAAGAGCGATGAGGCGCCACACCGGCGTGCGTCGCTCATTAGTCGAGCATTTGTGAACACGTTTTTCTTTTCCCTGGTGCTGCTGGGAAAGTGTAAAATCAATCGAGGAGCTGTGCACATTAGAAGGTATGGATGGTAAAATGCCTCGCGCCGAATGGGGTCAGTCCGAAGTCAAACAAGTCTCATTTATTCCTATTATGGTCTCGTGCGCGCCTCTCCAAACGACCAACACCATCTCCCGAGATATCGAAAAAAAATGAGCAATTTTGAAAAGGTGATCAGGCGGAGAAAAATTTGAATCTGACCCGAATTGCAGCAGGTATTCCTTGAAATTCACTGCAGCCTCGAACGCATGCAAATGCGAAAAATAAGTGAAAGTTCTGACAATAAAGGGCAATAAAAAGCGTTTGTGAGGCCGGTCGTTTTGAACCATTAGTCGCCTCCGCTGAATAACTACTAATTTTTGGTAACTTTTGCCAGGAGTGGTCAAAATAAGGTCAAATAAATCTTCAAGAAAATTAAAACAAATATATAATTATCAGGTGCATTACTTTATAACAAGACAATTTTTTTTAATTAAATGAAATATTAGAAAATTAAAAAGTATTTATAAAAATTAAATGGTACTTGAATTGCTATAAAATAAAGTTCTTAAATTGGAATTTAATATAATTTGGTATTGCATATTTTAAAAAAAATTCTATGGACCAAATTTGATTATCTTTGGAGCAGTAGGGCCGATTGACTTTCACTCCCGCACACAATGCCGGCTAGAAATTGAGCAATCGTTTAGATGATGCTCGTTTGACGCGCCGACCCCGGAATCGCTCTCTCTGTCAACGAACATCTGCACTCTCGGTGCAATTCTTTCTTAAAAAGGGACTTCTATCGTTACATTTTCATACAGACGAGCTTCCTGAATGGACAGACGACAAATTTCTCCACGACGTTTGGCAAGAGCAATAAAAATACCAAAAAAGGCTTGGCGCCGAACATGTCGCGTTGCAATTATTAATTTAAGAAAATCTTTCCTTGAGGGTTTAAAAATAATTTTCCTTGTGATATAAATCAAATTAAAGTGGACAAAAAAATTAGATTTAAAAATTATAATAAATAATTCATTTATAAATAGTATTTTAATAAAAGGAGTTGATTCTGATTTATTTAATCTCACAGTCACGCCCCTCTGACAAATTATTAATTTTCGATTGTTAAAATACACGATTGAATTTTTCCGCTTGCAACAATGGCCCATCCGTCTTTCTTTCTTTCTTTCCTCAGACCGGCCCGAAGGCAGGTATATATAAATATTTTGGCATACGAAAATTTTGTGAGCTTGTTGCTGGCTCGCAGTTTGGTTAGTCACTTCTCTCGCAGGGAACGAGCGAGGCTTGTTTTTTGCCAGCTGAAAAATGGGTGGGGCAATTACCCGCACAGAATTCCATTATTCAAGCGGCGAGAACTTTCCTGACTGAAAAATTGACCACTTTCCGCCTAATATTCCAAATTTATCAATCAAACTTGAATTAAAATTGTTTTTTAATTTATAATTTAAATTCTTTGAATTAATTTCGTTGCACATGCGATTGCGGCAGTCGAGGGGAGATAAGGCATTTCCGCGAAATCTGACCGATTATGTATGTAAAAGAAACCGAGCCGGAAATCGGACTGAACGGACGTTTAATGATAAATGAATTGGTGGTGCTCGGACGCGGATCGGTTTAGGAGTTTTCAGATGATGTCACGGGAGAGGAATTTGTAAATTTGCCGGCGAAGTTGCGCGCCGCAACCTGCCAAAGTGGCACGCCCGCGACAGGTGTTGGGCCCCCGCAGGTCAACGGGGGTTGAGGGCAAGTAAAGGGTGCGGAAAAGGGCTTACTTCTTCGCGCCGCATCACTTCGACCTGCAGCTTTTTGTGGTACTCCTCGCACTCGTCTTTGTATTTCTCCATCTCCTCTTTTGTCTGCCGCATTTTCTTCTTTAACACGTCCAAGAGTGTGCCCTGCTGCATGTTTGCCGTCATCTTGCCGACTTCCTTCGACACTGGTCTTTGCGTGCGAAAAGAGTCTTTTAAAGCGCGTAACACGGACAGAAAATAATGAGAACTACTGGCACCAACTCAACCACCGACTAGTGTGCTATGTTATGTGCGCGAATGCCCAAGATGGACGACTGCACTAGCTCGGTATCCCTCCGCACGCCCTTTCTCCCACCACGTTAAGTAGTGCCGTAGCGCAACACCGCTTTAGGTCCGTTTTCCGCCTAAATTTTTTCTAAATTTATAGATTTGTAGGGCACACTCTTTAATTTTGGATTATTTAAAATGCCTTTAATGTATTTAAAACGTTCTAATACGAGTTTCAGGTCGGAAGAATTTGTGAAAATTATTTTCAAATTTCAATGGATTTGCGCTTGGCGCGAATTCGTCACGTTCAGAAAAGTTTTCTCGCACAGATGCCGGACGACATTTAATTCAAAGAAGATCGTGAAACTGAGATTTTGATAAAAAAAAATTACTCTTTTTTTAGTAATAAAATGAGTCAATTTACTAGAAACTTTGTTATCTAGACTTTTGTAAATTTGCTCCATATCCCCGCATGTTTGTCAAGCAACAAAGTCTCCCCTCGCTAATTCACACACTTTCTTTGCCCGTCTCGGTTAGAAATGCGTCAGTAATATAAAAAATAGGATACGACAATTCTGCCAGTCGGGCACGTAGCTCCCGCAGAAGAGGGAGGCCATAATATTTAACTTATACGTGCGTATGAAATATATACACGACGGCGAACAAGATATAAGACGATTCGCCATGCCATGATACACACCACAAACGGTGTACCGAATATATAGATACATGGCATGCAGCATCGAGCAACCTTCTCATATAAGGAATGGGCCTTGCTCCGATGGAGTGAAGAGAACAGGTTATGCGCACGGTGCCCCAGCCGGCGGCCGGCTACTTTATAATACGCCATATTCAGTCAATTGTGTATCATAGCATGAGAACAACAATCATAATTGAAAGACAAGAGCACACAAACACACCGAGTACGAAAGGAGGGAAAGAATGAGAAGGACGGTGATGAGGCCTGATTAGCGTGCATGATGGATGAACTCTTCTCACATTCAAAGCTCATGAATCACAAAAGTGACTTGCGCGAGTGCTTCACTTGTAAAATAAAATAAATTATCATTTAACTATAAAAAACCTTCACTAGAAGCGTTTTCATTTGCCTAATTAATAGAAGATTTAATAATTAACTAGAGATATAATTTTAGGAAGATAATAATAATAATTATATAAGCGATTACTTTTTGTGTTAAAATTTTATGTCTTCTTTCATAAAAGAGTTAGGCAGTCCCGCTTTGCATGCATGGCGCGTGGGTTGCATACTCTAGAAACGCCAGGAGATTATCCAGCGAATATAATTTTAAGCTTTTTTTTTTACAAAATTACACTCTTGGTTATTAGAGAATGGAGATAGTGGTCATTGACTTCCACCCTTTAAATCCCCTGTTGCATCCAACCCAGTAAATTGTATGAATGAAGCCAAAGAGAAACCGCGACTCCCTCTGCCGACGAGAGCAATAAAAAGCACGGAAAGAAATTACACCCCGTCCTGCCTGGTGTACAAAAGTATATTTTGTCGTTTATCGAGTGTCAATTGCTGTCACGATTGAGGTTAATTATCATGCAAGTGTAATGGATATGAATGGCCGGAGTTCAACAGTCAGCACCTCTCTCTTTGCACATGCATCAGAGTATAAATCTGATCCACTGGCACACACTCACACACTTGCGCTAAAAATACCGATTCGCTCAGTCGGATCGCGAGAGAGTCGCGGGGCATTTATCAGTTCCGCCTGCACAATTTGGGGCAGTCGGATAAGAGGAGCGAAAAAAAATTCCCCATCGAAAGAAACAGAGAAATAAAAAAAGAGAGACAGCCACGCCTGATATAGCGTATTAAAGGACATGACGTCACTGGACAGACCGAGTGTAAATTAACTCCGCCTTTGAGCCGCATCACGTGGACTAACGAAAACTAAAGCTGGTGTGTGAGTGAATGCGAAAATCGGAATGACTGCTGCGCGTATTGAAATACAACACAAACATACACACACTAACGCCAACACGCACACTTGAGGGGAATTATGGAAGAAAGCGGCAGGCGAGCAGCAGCCAGCGAACACCAAAATAACTTTAACTGATCTACTCTCTGACCCCTTGTGAGAGGAAAGAAAAAATTCTAGAATTTTTATAAAGAAAATTATATAAAAGTTTTTTAATTTTCTCTCGCGAGGTTTTGTTAGTTAGGAGACGAAAAGGGTATATACGACGCTGCGTGATCTGCATGAGCGACATACTAACCCTCTTCAATTGAGTGTTCATGATATTATGCAACTCGTTCTTAATAATATTGAACTTCATCATGGAATCGGAACTGAACATGGAGGAGCCGAATGCGAGTCCAGGGTAGTCGGCGCACCGTCTCTTTCGGCGCCGAATCTCGCGCTCGGCGATCACTTCGGTGCATTCACTAGGGCAGCGCAGGCGCGCCAGTTCCAGGGTCTCAGGGTCATCCTCGGCACCGTCCGGAGTCCTGGAAGGTAGCTGATCGGCCGCGGGCTGTCTGCCGCGCGATGGGGTGGGTTTGCGGGTGCGGGCTTCCTCGTCGCGCAGCTTTTCCAACAGCTGGAGGCTCTTGGGTCGGTCACGGAGGCGCGACAGGATCGTCGCGGCCGCCGAGTGCGAGTCATCGCCAGGTTGGTCACCGCGTTCAGCCATGGCTCAGGACGACGCCGTTCCCGCCGAAACTGGCGCGCTTCGGCGGGCCCTTGCAATTAATTCGGCGCACTCCACTTTTCTTCGTGACACGGTGTGCTCTCGATCGGGCGATATTTGTTGGTCGGTGCGTGTGTGTTTTCTTCTTTCTTCTGGTCACCAAACCGCGACGCCACCACGCGGATGTCGTGCAAGAATTAATACTGGTGCACCGGGGCCATCGCGAGAGCGGAATAACGCCGTGGCTCCCTCTCTCGCGTTCGCCAACAAGACGGCCGGCGCGGTGCTCACGCTCGCTTCTTTTTGCACACAAAGATTTATATCCAGACCAAAGTGCACGCGTTTGAGAAAAAAATATGCTAATTTTAGATCCACACTGAACAGGAAGTTGAAAATTTTAAGTGAAATTTTTCTGAAAAATGCAAAATTTGAATAAAATCCAATTGGAAAAATTTAAAACTGCACTGCACTAAAAGATTTTTCCCGGAGAAATAAATTGCACCGAGGAACGTGTTGCGCTGCGTATCGTGTGGCGCTCACTCCATATTTGGCCGCTGGTCTACGCCCGGGGGTATTTTTAGCCCGGCCCGCTCCCTCTATCTGGCTCGGCTGCTCTCGCTCGCTTACCGAGTCGCCTGCTTGGATTGAAGACGCACTCTGGCATCGCCACGTCGAATCATCATTTGACTAAACGCAGGAATTTCCCCTTGAAAGGGCGAGGATCATACCAAGAGAGGAATGAATATTATTTAGACAAGAGGAAGCCAACTTCCCCACCCTTTCTAGTGTGTGAATCAGTGGAGAAAAAACTTAGTTGAATCGCAAGAAATAAATTTAAATTTAAACAAGATTAACATTTATTTTCCGCTTTTTATATTTCGCAATATGAATTGTAAAAAATTTGAAAACCGGACGTTTCCAAGTACGGCAAATAAAGAAGCTCCTGTTTGTTCGCAACACTTGAGTTGTGAGGTTTATTTGTGATATACTCAGTTTCCACATTACTGAGTAAGGCAACGCTGCTTATGCTAATATTTGCTTGCACTGCACTTGACAGCAGTGGCTGACATCATCATTTATGAACGCCGCTCTACTGTGCAAGAATTCTATCAAAAATAAATCCCTAACGTCAAAAATACGCGATTAGCCCGTCAATGTGGGAGATCACGTTCGCAACCAATTTCGGCAATCAGATATTATATCTGCTGTTTACTGTTTACACGGTTGAGAGATAAAAAGGTGTGTTTTATCACAATTCTGATGAAAAGCCTAACGTCATTATAGTTGTGGAGATTACGGCAATTTTCATCTCCGAGTGTTAAATTTCTTGCAACTTGATCTTATTGTCATTTTGTTCAAAAACAATGAGCATCATCAAAGCGCCAATTAAAAATAGTCATTATGCTGTCGCCATTTTCCTTCTTGACACATTTAATTAAATTTCAATGGTGGTGCCCAATGTGAAATGGTTTAAAAAATAAGGGTACTCACGTTCTGCAGGGCCTTGTTCTTCTCCTCCAGCTTGGCATTGACCTGCATCAGACCTTCTTGGGTCTGATCGAGCTCGTTTTCAATGCTCTGGATCTTCTTTTGCAGGGAGCGGGCCTCCTCCTCGGCCTACAGTTCAAAATTCAGAAAGTGAATACAATTTTATTTTTGCAATTTAAAAAGATGACGAACCTTCTCAGCGCGAAGGTTGGCGTCGCGGGCCTGCTGCTCGCTCTGCAAGGCACGCTCCATCGCGTTGTCCTTGTCGAGCTTCATCGCCTGCATTTTCTTCTTGATCGCGTCCATTGTGGTTTGTTTTTGTTACTTGGCTCTGAAATGCAAAGAAAATTTAGAAATTAAATAAATAAATTAATTTAAAAAAAAAAAATTGCAAGTGCTAATTTTGCTTCAGTGCCTCGTGCCTCATTTATGAAATGTAGGCAATCCGCGCAAATCTTGTGCGCTGCTGGTTGCTCACTCCTTCATTTGCAGGGGATGATACAATTTAAAGATACTGTGATTCTAAATTCCACATTAGGGAATTGACAAACAGCGCTTCTAATTTTTTGTTTACACTAAGAAAAGCCGCAAACGCCCCCCTCCCTATATCGGCGCTCCGATTCTATTTTTAAACACGCAAAGAATTCACCCCTTCATATCTCCAGAGCAGCCGCGGCTTTTGTTTCTCGCTCTAGGAGAGTAAAAAAAATAAAGTCTTGGAGCCCCAACAAATGTACTTGTTCAGTGTCACGGAATAAAACAAAAACAGTCACATCCTTCTCCACATTCCATAATCCTCCCACTGCACGAAGTGTCAAGAGTGCAGCTTGAGAAAGCTAGCCCTCTCTGGAGCTAATGGCACTTTGCGTACAAGCCAATTACTCCGATCTAAAAATTAATGCACTCTGGCGGGTTCAACGGAGATAATAAATTACGCCAGGCGGTGGCCAGATTTAATGGAGAAACTATAGCGCCGGCGGAGCTGTCAGCGTGTCAATAATTTACAACCAGCTTTCTTCAAAAAAGGAGACATAATTCGCTGCAAGGTGGTCCTTAATGAAATTTATAGCATTTTTCGGTGAAATACGGTCAGGGACAAAGCGCAAGGCTGTGCTATGCGGAACTGCTTCCAACAGGCGCCACCGATTGATTTTGCCTTCTGTCAGATTTACCGTAAAATTTGCACCTATTTTCACGTGCGTGTGTTATTTTCTTATATGTGTATTATATTTTAATGGTTTCAAAAGCACGCGTAATTACTGCTGTAAAATGTGGTGTGAATCTGCAGAGAATATCTCGCGCCTTACGGAGTTTTGCGGCTTTCCCGTACACTATCGTGTGCTTTGCGAACGAGATAAGGTGGGGGACCGTGATTTCAAAGAGAGACAATGGGCCGTGAATTTGAAACAATCTTAAGAGATTAAGCGAAGCAGGTCGCACTCGTGGTTAGCAAATTGTGCACGTGGTGTATAATCACATAAAAATTATGGCAAAAGGTTTTGAAAATAAAAATAAATGATCTCATTTCCAACTGTTATTATGATTCTCTTAAGGCTGATTGAAGGAAAAAGAATTTAAAACAATTCATCTAAAGATATAAAATATCATTATAAAAAATTTATTTTTATTTGTTGGAAACACGCATGAGTATTTTACATACTAGTGATAAATGTAAGAGCTATTTTATATTATTTAAAATAATTTTTCCTGCTCGTAGCATGAGTAAGAAATTCAGCGCGAGACTACACTCCCTCAGCTCGAAATCTATTTTGAATCCACCGTCCATTCTACACGCGTGACGTCAGCGAGACGAGCGCCGAAGGTGGTTTTAATGCATCACCTCTATAAGAAATTCCATTGCAAGCCACGGGGACATTGCCGCAAAAAAAAAAAAGGTAAAAATGCAGCCCGACCGAGAGACCAAAGGAAACCAGTTTGCCAGCCAACGTGAGGGCATCGAATGCGGCGGCGGATGGAGGAGTAAAGAGAAGGCGAAAAACGTCTGTGAATTTACAAGCGGCGAAACCAACGAACGAACGAGAATATATTTTAGGCTCTAGCCAACTAAGGGACGGACATATAACGCAACCCTGACACACATTGCGTTTCGGCGCGTACAGGGGAAAATCAGCGATTGAAAGCGACAATTGGGGGGAATTCGGTTTCAATATTCGAATTGCGGCAAGTGAGACGAAAAAATTGAAAAATTAATCTGCCGTGGAGAAACTTGAGTGGCATCGAAGAGAGTAATTCGATCCGCGAGAAGACTGGTTTTGCGTATGGATGAATACTAATTGAGTTTCGATTTCTCAAATACAACTCTGCAAAGAGAAATAATTATAATAGTAAATTATTAAAAATTTCAAAAGCAAATATTTAGATTTTGCAAATTAAGTGGAAGATTATTCATTAATTGATCAAACAACAGTGTTTGTGAAAAATTAAATCGCAAACCAGCCTTCTCAAAAACTGCGGCACAAAATGCGAAATTCTCCATGGGAGAGTCGAAAACCAATCCTCGGTCTGCACCATCTCGGAGTTGCACCAAAAAATCGCACTGCACCGTAAAAATAAAAGCACTGATGCAAATTTGGTCGACACTTTGGCTGCTGGATGGCACTAGCAATAGCACTTGCAGGCAGAAAGAATAATGTGTACTTAGCGATAAAGGTTTACCTGCAGAAAACGAACGTGCACGGGGCGGGGAGCGACCGCGGTGTGTGTTTCGAGTCTGTCGCGAGTAGCAGACTAATGTAGTAAGTCAGTGGCCAAAGCAGCGGCAGCCGCTAGCTCTCCTCCACCTCTTTAAAAAAAGACGCGCGGCGGACCAACTCCCTCCTAGCTAGGGCTCTCGACGCTCGCCGTGTGTATTTTATGCTGCGTGCATGTTTGGTGACTTGCGATGGGTGCATCCACTTTATCCGCTTTGATACCCACATATGCACGCGGGAGGGGTTTTTTTCATATTGCAGTGTGTCTGCTCACACAATGAGCGAGCGCGTTTCGTTTGATATATGTATATTATGAAACGCAGACACCGCAGAGATGGATGCTTTTATGGGTCTCTAATAAAGTTGTAATAAATATTATTAGAATATACCCTCGCTTCTCGGATGCCGTGTTTATCATTATACGCTTCAACGAAACATAAATTCAACAAGTGATTGAACAGCTAGATGAATCCAGTAGTGCATAAACTATGCTAAAACGGTAAAGTAAGATTTATGGAAGAGAGGAAAAGGGAAATGTCATATAAGAGAGACGCATTTTTCATACTATTTGTAATGTGAAACAGTTAAATTGGTTGTAAAAAGTTTTAGTGAAAGTAGTAATCCCAAATAACATCTCAAATTTAATTGTATTAAATTTTTTACTTTGATATCTCTGTTTCTTTTGTAAAACTTGCAATTACTCTAAATTTTATAAATTTGTTAAAAGTTTTAAAAATTTATTGCTTTTTAATTATATTTAAATAACTACCACAACTACTTACGTGAAGATCTAAAATCAAACGTTGAAATAATTTTTTTTTAATTGTTTTCAAATGAAGAATTATTGATAATATTTTTTATTGATTTTATATCAGATAAAAGAATCAATTTTATAAGATATTCATTTTTGGATACTTTAGATCCTTTAGATGTGTCTTTCTAAATTACAATTTTAT